TTCTTAATAAAAAAAGGTCTTTTACTTCAATGCAAATTTGAATGAATCAGTTTTATTACAATCAAGAAAAAATCTAAAAATCAAATGCTTCTAAAATGTTATTAAATTTTTATGGAACAAACCAAAATAAAATAATAAAATTACCTCTGGAAACCACCAGAAGTAAACCAATATTATATTTTATATTGAAACCATCGTTGATGTTAATATCGAAAAATCTCATTTAAAATGTACCAATATTCTTTTTTTTTACGACTTTATAAAACCGTAAAAATGTTACTGGTTCCAACGTTTTGAAAATCTGCGGCATAGCTATTTTCGTGGTACAACAAAACTGAAATATTTCGAATTCTCGCAAGTTATTCATAGATATTTTTCTAATTTAACTATCACGTTAATGGCAAATGCAAAAGATGGGGTTTATAACTTTTGAATACCGTAATAAGCGTTTTCTCGGAAAAATTTGGTATTAAAAGCAAAGATTTAATTGGCATGTAATTATAATTGTAGTTGCGAAGCATTATGTTTAAATCGGTTAATTAGCATTCTTTTATTATTACCTCATACAATAATTATTCTGCGCTAAGGTCGATCGATGTAATTTGTGGTTAAATATGTAAAAAACACCTACACATACAACAAACAACGTTAAGACGAATCTATAAAAGAAAATCTAAATTGGTATGACAAAATAAATAGTATCAAAAATGTATTTAATCTTAAATTTCGACTAGTAATTTTTTGCTTTACAAATTCTCTAATTTCTCTATATTTTTTTTATATTTTTATATTTTATATTTAATTATTAACTTGCCGTTCTCATATATTAATTTTTGTACACATTTTATTTTCCAAATATAATCAAAATAATTTGTTAATTACCGCTCAAACGGCTAAATATAAAATGGCTTTAGTTAATTTTTATGAAATTTTGTACCCGCGTGTTTTTAATTTATGTATTTGAAAAAAAAATTATTGAGTGAACAATATTAATTATATTTTACTTTTTCTTAAAATTGAAAAGTGTGATTGTAAGACGTTTCGAAAAATGTACTGCCTTCATCAGAAGGCTGGAAGGTGAATATTTAAAGAAAAAAGAATAAATAATAATTTTATTTTAACAGGTTTACAATGAATTTAAGAATAATTTAACCTTAATATTAAAAAATAATATGAAGAATTGGTTAACTTTTGCACTGAAAACGTATACACAGAATGTGAATAAAAAGTATTATTATTAATATAATATGCAAGCTAAGTTATTAAGCTTAAAACAAATTAATAAGCCGGAGAATAAAACAAAATCTATAACCTGGAAAATACCAACAGGAACATTTTAGGAGCAGCCTTAGACGGTATCCGGAGGCTATTTTTCAAGTTAATCTCCTCGTTTTGGAGAAATATGCTTTCTTGAAGTTTCGAGGCGGGTTTTGACAAATATATCTTTTAAACTCGAGCGAGCACCTTGTATTATGAACTACCCCAATCGGAGGATCTATTTAATCAGTCTTGTTCAAGGTAAACTAACTAGAATCCCTTTTTCTGTCTCTAATTAATGTGCGCCTCAGTCGAGAGTAATCTTCAAAATCCACCCCCGCAGAATAAGATGTATAACGGATCACTAATATGCACTATCGTCATATTTTAAAAATTCAAACGACAATTTTTATTTCAATTTAAAAATCAAGTTCTATTATGTACCAACAACAGAGAAATTATAAAATCTTTTGACACTACATATAAAAAACAGAGCATTCATTAGCTAATTGACACAACTCTTATTTTGAAAAAATTTAATTCATTAAGTTAAATAAGTTTTAATAACAAAGTAGAAAGCAACATTGATAATTTCTCAATCAACATTAAAAAGCTACTTTTTGTGTACGGACAAATTCCTAAAACTAATCACCCAAATAAACTGAAATTCCTTATGCTGATTGGTTCTAAATAAATCAAAACTTCAAATAAATAAATTTAAAAAAAAGGCAAAGGTACTTATGTGCGTTCTGAATTTGATTAGGTGTAAAATAGATCACGCGCCAAATGAAATTTTAAGTAAAAGGGTACCTAATAGATGACTCATTCGTTGCTAATTTTAATTACTGACACCCACACGAATGACTTTTCCATTTTACATCAATTTTTCGAAATTAACACCTCCACCTACCATATTAACTATCCACTCGATACAAAGATTAAGATGGAAACATCGCACACAGAAACAAATTCCTACCATAGCTATACACCAGCAAATTGTCAAGGATCGGAAAATTAATTCGAGAATATCATTAAATTACGTTAAATTAACATAAAGGAGCATGATTAATATCTTAGTATGTAGCATTTAATAATTGGATTACTCGTCAAGCTAATTATTTCAAATATATCTTGGAACAAAGATACGTTGCTTTGATCTTATGTTCAATTTGAGCGTTGTAGTGGCTTAGAATATACTTTTCTATAGGGGGCAACCTTAGGGACCAATGTTAGATCTATCTGCTTCTGTCAAGCTTTGGGGCATTAAATTTAATATCTAGATATTTTTGACTCAGCGCAAAATATGTCGTAAATACAAAATTAGGATGTCGCATCCTTTTTTCTCCAGCATAATCATAATAGATCACAAAACGTCGTAAAATAAACCAGGACCAATTTGCTTTAACCTTTCGATCCCTTCGTTGACCTTTCGTGAAATCATTGGCGTAGGAACATTTTTAAAACTGGCGAAAACTCGTTTTCAACGATTGCCCGAACGGCTTTACCATTGAAAGAATTTTATTTTAAATGTTCAATAAGCGAAACTCATTCGAATGGTCCCGCCTTGTGTTGTTACCTGTACCTAACTAAAAACACATTTACCAAAAAAAAAAAAAAAACGTCTACTGCCGTTTAAAGGAAATAAATTTCACAAAAAATGAGAGATGATTAAAAAATCGAAATTCAGAAACAACATCTGGGAGACTCCAATGGAAATTGCGATCATTCCGGCTTAAATAGACGCAAAAAATATAAAAAATAATCAAGCAGAGAACGCGTACCGTTCAGTGCGCCACTGGAAACCCTTGATTTGTTTGTCGTAAGACAATATTATTATTAATTTGCTGAAGTGCCAGAGACAACCTAAAAGTGTATCTAAAAATAACATGCCTCAATTTTAATATTTTAGACTGCCGACAATTGTCTTTATAAGAAGAGGGTACAGAATAATTGGTCCATGCTACTCAAAAGCACAAAAGGACGGCAACGGATTAAAATGTCATCGTACTTGCCTTTAAAAAATCGATCGTCACTTTTAACCAATACCAATAATTTCTAACCCGCTTCTATACTACGATGTGGACATCTGCTTCGTGCTGAGGAGAATGTAACGGATTGCGGATGTGGTTAATTATTTGGCAAATTGTTTTTAGGGTACGATTTTTGTGAACGTCAACGTTAAAATATCCAATTTGTTAATATTGTACGTGTTACAGCGAATCTACCTCGTATTCCAGACTGTTTCCGATTTATTCAAAATAAAAATATATTTAAAATAAGACGCACCGAATCACAAACTAAATCTTATAGAACTGTAAACGAGGCGACTTTAAAACTTGCCAATTTTCAAGCGAAATTAACGACACTAGGTACAGCTTATGATTTACAAAGCAGTAAAAGGTGTTTAAAGAATGCCAATAAATCTTTGTTTTAGCAAATCAAACGTTGGAAAATAACGTCTTACCTACACATATGAAGTTATTACGAAAATGTCAATCTTGTGTAAACCGTTGTCGGGTAGTATTACATGTGGCTAATACGGCATTTACATTTTTTTATGACGGGCTGAAGTTAAAAGTTACGTCATACGAATCTCAAGCCAGTGGTTTTGGTTTTTCCGATCCATTGTTAATGCTAACCGCTGCTCTTTAAACGGAGAAATCGTTTTTTAATCATGCTGACTGTCATATTATTGACACACGATTCGCACGAAAACCACACAGTAAAAGCATAAAAGCACACAGCTTAAAAAAAATATTGCAATTTATTAAATAACAAACCTAACCTCTGTTACCATCACGTGCCACTTATAAGGACAGTGCACGTGGCTGTCTTGATCATGATTGATCTAAAAAATTTCCGAAACTAAACCTTCCTTCAAAAAATATAGTTAGTCTTTCTTTGCAATACGAAAATATAGTACGAAATTAATTTTAATCAGACCGGATTTCGCAGTTGCCTAGCCTCAAAACTTGTGCTGGGCTGAAAAAAGATGCCTCGTTTCAACAACGTTTACTTACCTAAAATTTCAATATAAATATTTTACACCATTATCTTTAACATACAAGAATCATTTCTTCTTTAAACGAATTTATTAAATCACAGAACGTTTAAATCGGAATTGGTGACGCCATCTATCAAGCGATAGCTAAATGGTAATAGCCCCCAACTAAAGGAATTGTGAATTGTCGCGCGAGTCATAGACCTCCTTGCGTGCGTTTGTGAAGATGATGAAATTAGTTGAATTATACGTAACTCCAATATTACGTATTCAAACAATAGGTCAACATTATGATGGCATCAAAGTTTTATTTAAAAAGAAAACTGCACCACAGTTTCATCGGACCGCGTTCAGAATTTTTTTATTTTCAAAAATATGATGAATATTTTAAATACACTTCCTATAGAATAAATTCCGTTAAAGCGCAGCATTTTCCTTAAAAAACTGCATTTGTCGTTTTAATTTTTCTAAATTACCATCCCATATCCCCGAACATGCCCATATCATTTAACCAAAGAAGCGGTCATTTCAAATTAAGGATATTTGAAAGGCAACAATGAGATCTAATCTCAAAATTTCTTTTTGCTGACATAAACTCTTCGTCTTCAACTACTTATTAAACTCAAATAATGTCTCCAGAAAACGTAACTTCGAAAATTTGACGGAAAAATACGTAAAAAGCCAATGACAACTCGATATCCGAGTATTTACCCAGCATGCACTTGGGATGGGAGTGGGAGCAGGAGCGAATATCTGTCTGTTTAAGCCATAAGCAAAACTGTGCATAGCTGTAAAAAGTTTCATCGGAAGAGTGAAAAATATATGTATTTGACAGTGCCGCCGGCGTAAGTGGTGAATTTTCAAAAACGTTTTAGTTTTTTGCGATGTGATAACCCTTCAAGAAACTGCAGCGAAAACAAGGCAACGTTTAGTGGCGGTATTATTGGTGACGTAGTCTCCATTATACCTGTGCTCTGTGACCTTCCAAGGCTTAAATTAAAAAACATGTTAGGTTTGTGAATTTGTAGATTGTTTGTTTAAGTATTAAGGACCTATTTCTTCTTTTGACTGCTTTTAATATCGTTAGTCGATTAGATGTTTGTGTGTTATTGAACGTCCGTTTCAGCGTTAGAATACCGTAGGGCTACTTTCCTGATGTAGAATGTAAACAGTCTTAGCCCCGCCCCATGAACTCAGATTTCCCTGGTATTTATCTTCGTAAAAATAATGAATTCTCGAATAAACCGCCTTATGTCTATTTTATAAATTGTTGGTCACCAAACTGAAATTACAATATTCCCTGCGGGTGAATACCTACCTAGCGAATGATAGAGCAGGACATTTAAATGAAATTTCTGTCAAAAATTTAGGTACATTATGCACCATCAATCCTCACAAAACAGCTTATTAGAGTTGATATCCTTCAAAAACTATTGCTCTACTCTCTCTACTCTACTTTTGTGATAATAATAATCAAACATATCTCATAGTCGCTGAGCAAATTGTACGTTATATTGTACTAAGTGAAGGATCATTGTATTACGAGTTAACTCTATTAATTGTAAATTAGTTCCAACATTAATATTATTTCGGAAATAATTCAGTTTTGTTTGGGTTTTAATGAGGGAGTATTTAATACAATTTTCATATAATCATTAATTATTTAGCATTAAATTATCAATAATTTAGTCCGAAATTTGTATTTATGTATTTTGAGCTATAGCAATTCGTTACGCCGATAATGATATAAATCCAACAGTTCAACTTCATAATCCTTCATTTTGAATTTATTAAAATTTGTTGAAAACCTGTTCAGGTTTTGCATTGATGATAGTAAAGATCATATGTGTACAATCTGGGTGACAGCATCTGCATAAAATTTTATTATCCAGATTTAAAAAATAGTATTAAAGTATTAAAACTACCAATACTTAGTAAACTTTTCGTAATATTTGATCCTTCTCTGTTTACCAATTGCTCATGCATTACAATCTTATCACATTTAACAAATTGCTAATTTAGAAATAACTTGACTCATAAAAAGAAAAGATATCAAAACCAAATAGCGATTAGTTTCTTTTTTCTTTTGTTTTGTCGTTATAAAATAAAGTAATTTGTTGAAATGTGTTTTATTTTTGTGGTATAGGTAATGCTATCTGGCTGTCTAGCTTATTAAAAAATTTTCTTAAGTCAAAAGATTGCCCTATATTTTGCAAAGTAATAATGATTTATCAGTTTAGTGTCCACTGTAGTGAAGTTGTTAGCGGACGTCAAAATGGAACTGATCTACAATTTTAGACCCAGTGCCTAACTCTGGTACATCTTCAGCTAATGTGTGATTTGTTTTAATATAAAATTTGTTATAATGCAGGTAAGAATACTTTGTTCATGTGGCAATTCGTAAATTTTATCTGAAAAACCCTTATTTGGTTTTTGGCTGTATGTATATCCAAATGTTATTTATTTCTTTTATACATTACTGTTCGAATGTAAAATAAAACTTGAGGTGAAGAAGAAACCATTTTGGATGATGAAGAGCAGGATGAAGTAGAAGGAAATGAACATCCTAGCAAGAATTAATTATAAATCAGATTGTGAATTCATTGTAATGTTATATGTTATATGTTGATATGATAAGACTTTGTGATTTTAAAACCTAATCAGGTATTGTTCCAAGTTTACCTATAAAATAAAAAAATATGTACTTTAGTTTTTATAAAAATATGTAAATCTACTTTTTTGGTGGTATTTTTTATAATGTTTGGGACTGTTTTAAAAAATATATTTTACACATGCTTTATTAATAGTAATTGGCATAGTAACAGTATTTTTTTTAAAGATTACAAATAATTTTGTATAATTGTTCCAAAACATAAAATACATCAATAACAGATTCACTAAGATTTACTATATGATTTCTGGGGTTTCCTCATTTTTGCAGCACTGCTGGTAAACATATTTCCTGTCCTTTTCACAAATTTCAAAGTCGTCAAATGCTGATTAAAAAGGCAAGAGTTACATCTAACGATTAACACTGTAGCAAAATACCCAACGCCTAACTTAATCATAGAGCTTAAATGGCAAAATTACAAAAAATGTCGTTAATTAACTAGCAGAAATTAACATTGCTCATAACTAAAGTATGTCATGTTAAGTGCTGTAAGGTTGCCACGTATTAAATTAAGAGCGGCAATTTAATTATTTTTAAACAAAAAAGACCCACTAGTTTGACTCAGCTGTGTCACAGTGATCTTATATTTGCTTGTTTTACTGAATTTGTATTAAAATTTGTGGACAACACTGTTCGGTGTATTTATTCATATTAAAATCATTTAAAGTATTAGTGTAAAAATAATTCTATGCTTGTACCCAAGGCTCGTGCCTAAACCCGCATTTAACGATTTTTTCTCTTTACAGAAATACAGCAAATGTCGATAAACAAAGTGAAACAAACAAATAAGGAATTGAATGTAGGCTGACCTGATCATATAAGGGTAAGTGTAATTTTTAATAGGTTATTTTATGTTTACAATGGCGATAATCCATTTAAGGAGAAATTAATGAAATTAGATTTTTGTTAATTTTTTATAAAGGTTCTAGGTATAGTCAATTATATAGTTTCATTAAACAAAATGTATCCCAACATTCATTCACTCATTTGTCAGGTCTTTCATTGTCACTAATCATTTTTGCATGTGTTACACAGGGAAACTTTTTAAAATTAACAACATTGTTACACATCGCTTCAAACATGTCAGCTAGTCAACTTTTGGACTCTTGTATGTAAGTAATCCACTTTCATTTGAATTAGAATACTTTATAGGTAGTAGACATATAAATTCTTCATCATTCTAACATTTGCACATTTTTCTCTCTGTAGGTTTCATGTGATTAACACATATGAGCTGTGAATGTATTTTAAATTAATTGTCAATAAAACCCGACCTATAAAATAGTTTTAAAAGTCCGTTTCTGGAATTGCTTTGTTGCGAGAAAATTAATAAATAATTGTTCTTCCCTTTTAACTCTTTTACGGTTATTTAGCGATTTTTAAGAGCAATAATGCCGTAAGCACGCTTCTGTAAAATGTTATTCCACATTTGAGATCTAAAAGGGAATGGAATTTTTAATCAAAATTTTTCAGCGACAGAAATTTAACTTCAAAGAGAGCATTTGCAAATATCTCTGTGTTTGACTGAATTTAAAGTGATCAGAGTGCGCTTTTATAAATGTAGTTATCTACCTCCTGCTATTTTAATATTAATACGTAAACACAGCACTTTGTGAATGCTGCAATATTAAACTGACATTAATTTCGGTACCTGGCTCATGTAATGTGGGGCACTGATGGTGTAATTGTTAAAATTATTTTTTAAATTGAAAAAAATTTTGCATGAGAACTATTTCGCAACAAAAAGTGCTTAGCCTAAAATGTTCTATGCTTTCGCATTAACAGCTTGGTGAATAGGAGGGTGGAACAAAGACAAGAACGCAGCGTTACCCATACTGAGGTGACACAAAGGTAAGTTGTCATTCCCTATTAGGTACTGTAGTAGTGTTTTAAAAAATGAATTATGCCTATAATAATTTCATTTTAGTATTTCAATCTGGCGGTTCAAATTCGTCATTCTTGGAGTTTACGCTAATTGCACGAGACAGCAAAAAAACACCCAATACTTGCCATGATCGATTTTCAAGATAAGACCTATGAGGTGCTTTTGAAAAGTTTTGATTTTGCGTTCTCGTCGACATTGTATTCTTCCGGTCTCTTTTTTACACAACTATACGTAGAGAAAAAAAATGTAAAAAGTACACTTGATGATTTCAGCACATAAAACATGCAAGTGGCAAAAATTCAAAAAATTCAAAAAACCTCCAATTATTTTTCTTGAAAATAGAATCTCCTTAGTTTTTTTGATCTCCTGGAAGAGCCCCAAATCTATGAAAACTGACCAATTAAATATCCCATAGTCTTTAAAATTAATTTGGCTTTCGTTAAAAGTGCAATGAAGTCGTTAAATTGTTATAATAATTGTTATATTTTCTATACAAAGTGATCAATTCAGGTAGCAATTACATACGTGTCATGTCATTTAATTAAAAATTAAAAACCAAAGTTGCTCTATATTTTCATTTTTATTATTTAAGTTAAAATTTAAGATTTTTCGGAAACTTTGATCGGTTGGAACCATTATATTTGGTCGTAATTATCGAAACGTTACTATACATTGAAAATTGTTATACATTGTTATATTTATTTTCATCATCTAAGAAGTAAGTACCTATCATCAGTTTTGTGTTGTTTTAGGAGGGTTTTGCAAGAACAGGGCCCCGAAATGCAGCATTATAAGTAAGTTCATGTTCGCATGATTTTAAATTTATATGTTTTGTTATCAAATAGTATTTATCCAAAATAAATTGACTTGAAATATTGTTATCATCAATGGAGAAGACTATCACCCTGAAATTGGAAAGTAGAAAGATTCATTCATTAAAATTCCCCGGGTTAGTTTTTATTTATGACCCCCGTTAATTATCCAACCGTATATAAAGTCTTAAATAAAAAATTGCATAATTTAATTTGTCGGGGAAATAATTGTAATCTGTTTAATTTATTATTTTTCAAAGTTTAGCGGGTGATAGACTTCTCTTTTTTTTTTATTTCACTGATTTTTGTTACCATTTCACTTCATATTTCTCTTGTACGTTAAGCCAACGGATTGGAAAATCAGTTTATTTTTTATTTATACTTCAGGGGTCCTGATTTCTCAACACTAAACGAAGGAGCGTATCATTCACATAGTAATGGTCATTCGGAACACTCACCTAATTCCAGCCACATGTCTGTTCATAGTGATGAGCCTTTAGTTCGGACACAAAAACAGCAGACTACGCAACAAGTTACTACGGTGACTAAAGTTGTCCGCGAAGTCCAACAAATCGGAGAACAGCCTGGAGAGTACATACCCGTACCTCTGGGATCATATCCTCATAGTTCGCATTACGCTGATTATATTGAACAGCCGCCTCACCACATGTATTCTCAATATCATCAGCATCCTCACTATCAGGTATGCCCTAAAGATAGTTCCCGCACCTTACAAAGATGAACTGAAATGTTTAATAGTTTTTCATTTATAACTTTAAGATTTTTTTTAATTTTAGGATTTCGACCATTATCCTAACCCCTATGGGGCATACATGGGGTACCCTGCTGGGACCGAAAGGCCTCCAACTCCTCCTAGTCCTAGTGAACATAGTGGGGATCCTTCCCCGCTTCCTTTGGCCGCTCAGCCTATTGCTCCATATTTGGGTTCAGGATACGATGAGCTTCCTGAGCACTATAGGTATTTCAGTTGTGTACAAATCGCCTCAATCATTTTATTCACCACTCTGTTTAGGGTAACTCCATCACCTGGTGGCCCAATAGGTATAGACCCTTACCAGGATGACCCGGGAGTGGTTTACGGATATGTCTCGCCGTCGCCTTATGGCGCTGCCCCATTGTCACGTCCTTATGTAGATAGTCTTAATGGTCCGGTCCCTGTGGGGCCTACCATGAGAATGTTTGAAGAAGAAGATCTTCAAAAGCATATAAGTAAAATGTCTTTACACGGACATAACGTCGGATTACCCCACGAAAGAGTTCATATTGCCTCCCCTGGTAGTATTGGTGGGGAGGAAGACCAAAGAGGTATGCGTTGGCGCGATCCCAATCTTACAGAGGTTATAGGGTTCCTAAATAATCCCAACAATGTGATCAAAGCTAATGCTGCAGCCTATTTGCAACACTTGTGTTATATGGATGACCCCAATAAACAAAAAACTAGAGCTCTAGGTGGAATACCGCCACTCGTTAAATTATTAAGTCACGAAAGTATAGAAGTTTACCGAAATGCTTGCGGAGCACTAAGAAACTTGTCCTACGGCCGGCAAAACGACGAAAACAAAAGGGCGATTAAAAACGCGGGCGGCATACCAGCACTAATTAACCTTTTAAGGAGGTCCAGCGAAGCGGAAATTAAGGAACTCGTAACCGGAGTTATCTGGAATCTGTCGTCGTGTGAAGATTTGAAACGAAGTATTATAGACGATGGTGTTTTAACCATTGTCACTTATATTATCATTCCACATTCCGGTTGGGATCCTCAGGGTAATCATGGCGAGACATGTTGGTCGACAGTGTTTAGAAACGCTTCGGGTGTGCTGCGGAACGTCAGTTCGGCAGGAGAATATGCCAGAAAAAAATTAAGGGAGTGTGAAGGCTTAGTGGATTCGTTGTTGTTCGTCATCCGCTGTGCCATAGAAAAATCCAATATAGGCAATAAAATTGTTGAAAACTGCGTCTGTATATTAAGAAACTTGTCATACAGATGTCAAGAAGTGGAAGATCCGAACTATGACAAGAACCCACTGCCTACTCAAAGTAGGGTGGCAGCTAATACCTCGAAAGGTACACACAATCGGTAATGGCAGTAATTAGTGCAAACTACTAAAGTGGTAATTATTTTAGGCGAGAATTTGGGTTGTTTTGGTGGCAGCAAGAAGAAGAAAGAAGGTCAGTCGTCAGAAACGAAAGAAAGCAATTTTGCTTCTTCGAATTCGGCGGGCACCTCGAGTTCCACCCCTCGTGGCGAGCCTGTGAAAGGAATGGAACTTCTATGGCAGCCGGAAGTAGTGCAATCTTATTTGGCTTTATTGCATAGCTGTTCGAATCCGGAAACCCTGGAAGCAGCCGCGGGGGCCTTACAAAATTTGGCAGCTTGCTATTGGCAGCCTAGTATAGAAATAAGGGCAGCTGTGCGCAAGGAAAAAGGTTTATTATTTACATCGCAAGTGAAATTTTGAAAACGACAGGGTTAATATTTATTTTAGGCCTACCCATTTTGGTAGAATTACTACGTATGGAAGTAGATAGGGTAGTCTGTGCCGTAGCGACGGCGCTTAGAAATTTAGCAATAGATCAGCGTAATAAAGAGTTGATAGGAAAATACGCCATGCGGGACTTAGTTCAGAAACTTCCTTCGGGAAACCCTCAGCATGATCAGGGTACTTCAGATGACACTATAGCAGCAGTTTTAGCTACTTTAAACGAAGTAATTTAACGTCGAAAGGCTAGTTGTGACCGATTTAATGTCTGCCTCCTTAAATTGTAGGTGATAAAGAAAAATGCCGAATTTTCCCGGTCGCTTCTGGAGGCCGGCGGCGTCGAAAGACTGATGACTATTACAAGGCAACGACAGAAATACACCCCAAGGGTGCTGAAGTTCGCCGGACAAGTGCTTTTTACTATGTGGCAGCACCAGGATCTAAGAGACGTCTACAAAAAACACGGATGGAAGGAACAGGTAAGATTTATTCTCAATTATAGGGAACCCGACTTTCGCCTGATGGTGTCGGGGCCTTGTCGGGTTGATTTGAGTTTAGTATATAGAGGAAAATATTTTTTTATATTATGAGAATATACTCAAACGTGAAAGGTTCGTTATCACTTTAAATTAAATAGATTAAATAGATTAAATATAAAGGCCGGGTGGGTTTTAGTGAACAAATGACGTCACAGTCTGCACATTTTGGCTGGTAAATGGCGAATTTAACCTTTAAACTTGTTTAACTTTTTTTAATTAAAAAATACTTAATAATATTAACATTTGTTAGGTAATATATCAAACAATTTGTATTTACGGCATGTAGATATAAATAATTTCAAACTGATTCTGCACCTATGAATTATACAATGGTGCTGGTTAAGGTAGATAACTCAATTCATTAAAAGTACGGAGTACCTTTAATGTGAACCATAAATCTATGCGGGTAATAAAAAATACGGAATTATGCTAAGTGAGCAAGTCACTATCCCAACCAAAGAGCCAAGCAACACCAAATATCATTTTAAAAATTTTAGGTTACATGCAATTTAACCATAGTGACTAGGTGAATATATTTTCTAATTGCTTGTTTCTGCTTCGTCCTAGAAAGAAGACGTGAATTTTAGTTTAAGGATAGTCAAAAGCGTTTAAGTCAGTATTAAGTCACAGAACTAAATCTTAAATTTGCTCATAATAATTACATATTGAACTTAATATTTTTAAGAGATTATTTATTTTTATCTTGCCCGTCGGTATTGACTGCGGGGTGAATCACACGTGAAATCTGACGTACCAGCTCTGCGAAATCTTTGAACTCTTGCTGAAATCATAAATTAGTTCAAGCATTTTAAGCTTTTAACACTTCCCATTAGTTAAATCATCTTTAAATAATAAATAAATTAATCGAAAAAAAAAAACAATATGTGACCAAATAATAATTACGTAAATTTTTCCAGGATATCATCCTCAATTTGTTTGTTGAATTCCACTATCTCACTTGGCATTTTTAACGTTAAGGTTAAGATATAAGCCATAAGATAAGAATTAAGAAAATTAAGAAACAAAATTTTGTAAAATTGTTTTGAAAATATTATGTTTACTTCCTTTTTATACTTTATGGAATTTATGATGAAAATACTCCCCTACTTTTTGAAAACAACTTTAAATATTGTTTTTACTTAATGGTTTTTAAATAAAACGGAATACAACCATTTTTCACATAACCTAGAAAGTATTTGTCAGTGAAATCTTCAAAAATAATTTAGAAATCTGCGAAATATTTGTAGCGTCCGCAAAATCTGAAACCTGTGAAATCTGTGAAATCATATTTTGCGTGAAATCTGGTGTACCAATTTTGGTTGGTGATTTGTCCCTCGGTATTTACATTACTTAAAACTGTTTGGTTCTGGTCGTAATAGAAAAACATTTTTTTTTTTGGCATATAATAGAAAAAGATCGATATGGTGACCTGATCCTCATGGAAAGCGGGAAATTTAAAATTTTGTTTTATACTGTTTGGCTCTGAGTTCCAGGTATTTGCAAATAGTCTGTGCCAGGCCCGTTATGCCATAAAAAGTTTTTCTTTACTGGATACCCGTTCCGCTTTCAGGACTTTGTCACAAAAACGGTGGCTGCACGGAACGCGGGTCCAAATTCACCCAACAATGCTAACAGCACCCTCAATCGACCCATGGCATCTCAAAGTGGAACACGGTACGAAGACCGAACTATGAAACGGTCCGCCCCAGGTCCAAGAGGTCCAGTATTTCGGGTGGGTTATGATTAGTTTGTAAATACGCTTCGATATTAATTTTCCGTTTTCATTTTCTGTTTCAGGACGAGATTCCGATGGCCGACATGGCGTACCCCGAAAATGCACCTATAATAGGTCGACCATATCCTCCTGGTCCTCCTGGTCCGAACCCACCCCCAGTAAGTCATTAAGAAACGACCTTTTGTAACTCTAATTTATCTCCCTCCCCCTCCTTCATCCTCATTCAGACATATAATATCTCACGCATCCGTGTCAATTTCGTTAAACTCGCGATTGAATGCTTTTGATTAATAATAAGGTGAATTGGACCGGACTAATATATTTAAAAAGCACAGACTTGCTCAATGCCTAGTATTATTAATGACATGTTGTACCTACTTTTATCATAACATCATAGTATACTAACAAAATAAACTGCCTCACTTACGAAAATGAGAATGTAGGTTCACACTCATTTAGAAACGTACATTCGTATACAATATTGTAACGCGCAGGACTGCGATGGGATGGTGCAATGTTTTTTTTTTATAATAGAAGTTGTTCAACAAATGACATGACAAATGGTCAACATTTTCCGTTTTAATTTTTTCTTACTAATGGATGTTCAGTTGGCATGGCGGCTGTGGCTTTGCAATGTTACAATCAGGTAACGGATGTATTATTATTTATATAGTTTTACGTTTGTTTTATTAAAATTAGGATAGCTGGGTTATTAGTAGCCTTGAAAACCTGGAAACATCAGGGTATCTTCTAGAAACTCAGGAAAAGTAGTGCAGTTTTTCCCATTAAAAGCCTAAAAACTAACCAAAACTATTTCGTTTCAAAAAATAAAGCATTTGTCCAAACTGCACAACCACATGACAATGTCACATGGAACTTAAGTAAGTCAGAAAATTGCAATGCCCATTGGGTTTTAATTTATTAAGAAAAATGAACAGAACTAGGAAACAAGTTGTCAATTAATATAGGGAAATTATGAAAAATCTTCTGGTTGCAGTTAGACCATTGGTTAAACTTGTGCTATAGTACCCATGTCAAAGTGTTTTTTTTTTTTTAGGAAATTTTATTCCCTTCCCTAGAATATAGGATTTATGTTATTTTGTTTTTTGCCCTGTTCCTAAGTGAAATTAAGTGATGGCACCTTTTGCGGCAGGTTTCAATGGGACTTTCCCCTAGATTTTACTCCCCAATTTGAAAAATCGGTTTTTCTAAAATTCGTTTGGACTACATTTTGATTTTTATTTTTTTTTTTTATAAAATTAAGGTTATTTTTGGTTGGCGTGAGGAATTTATTTTGCCATAAATCACTCATCACTCACAAAAACACTAACTGCATATGTCTACCATAACAAGGTTTGTTATTTCGTCCTTTCTTTCTTATGTTTCTTGACTTATTGGTTGAAGATCAACAGTATGAACAAAAACAAGTCACAAGTCACTTATTTTTTAGTTTTGGTTAAGTCTTTTATTTCATTGATTTATATTGTTGGCTTATTGCTATTCTTATTTATTTATTTATTAACTTGGTGTACTTATTTTCAATCATATCCTTACGGTCGTAACATTAATATGCGATTAATTCCAGGCTTGGTAAATTTTGGTGACATTTTTTAAATACTTATTGAACAGTTTTGGTTAGTATCTTTTTTGGTTTATTTGGCAGCCCTTGCCAGGGTTTTTTCAGTGCGGTCAAGTGTTTTTTTTCTGATTCAATCTCCATTAATGACGTGTTTATTTGTTGAACATCTCTGATGTTTACTTTTTGTGATTGGAGTTTTTCAGAGGACCTGGTTAAAATAGATGTACATTCGCCTCACGTAGATCGACATAGGTCTACGTATTTAGTAATAGATAAACAATTGTAGTAACTAAGTTTCGATGTCTTGCAGTTTTTGTTTTTCACTATCTCGCTGCCTGTTACTTTTAATTTAAATAACGCTGCTTTGAAAATTGTCATTGACGAAAGCGTCTTGTAGATCGTAGACTGCACCACGTCTTAATGTAAAATTTCAACTAATCCGATTGAGAAAAACAAAGTCAGCAATTGTAAACTATAAAACTCTTGATTGGGTCTTTCGATCAGTGATGATTTTATGTAAGGCTAATAAAAGAATGTTTCGGTTTTTTTACTAACTCGTGCAATTTTTGGATTATTCTTGCCAAAATCGAATTTTGATAGTTGAAAAGTATAGTCCCGGTGCGAGTCAATTACCAGAATTCGCGCGCGACGAAAAATGTAAAAATGGCACAATGTTAACAACAGAAAGAAGTCAATCATCAAATAACAAACAAAAGCCCATGGTCTTCCTCTATACCTTCTCTATATCTAGCCATGTCGTCTGTATCTAGCGTAGCATTTAGTAATCAAAATGTTGAAAAAAGGCGGAGGGCGGCATTAGCGGGCGACCGAAGGCCCAGGGCGGCGAAAAGGCTGCGCCCCAGGTAAGGCTGTATTTTACAGCTGCTCAGGGCCTTTGGTTTGCTGCGCTCATCGCTCAAAACGAGAGGCCCTGCCCAGCTTATTAACGTTTTGGTTTAGCCAGGGTCAGGGTAGGAAGAATATGCATTTCAGTGGTTACTGAATCAACTTCTCAATTGTAGAACTGTGCTCGTCTCCTTTTCATTCACCTTGTGAGAACTTTGAGAGTTTTTCGTTGCAACTGTTTCGCTTTACTTGCAACTGATTTCTATCGGCCTTATTTAATCGTTTTATTCTTCCAACCCGTCAGACCGGATTGTTGAGGGTCTATTTTTTGAAAAAAAAAACGAGCCTTTGTGAAAGTACTTAAGAATAAAATCTCAATTAATATTATATCGAATAATATACTATATATTAACTACTACAGCAATCGTTAAATAAATAAATACAAGTTAAAAAAATGTATTTCAAAGAACGTTCTAAAATTCTGGTTTTGTGAAATACCACCTAGATTTGGACTTCTTTTTAAATTTATGCAAAATTTCCAATGTAGTTTAGCTCTCTCTGCATGGATAAGCATTTAAAAATTAATTAGGACACTGTATTGACGAAGAAATGTTGATATATATGTCATCAATATTATTTCCAAAATAACTAAAGCTTTGCACTGATTGCATTTTTTTTTCAAATACTCTGTGGAATATATATTTAATTTTTTAATAGTTTTCCTCAAATTAAATTGACAAAAAAATAAAACAGCCATTAGTTAATGTATCTATTTTTTGTGAGGGTATTTTAATTAATTGATCCCTGTTCACTGGTACAAAATATAAACTTCCTCTGAAAAACAAAGAGGAAAGTGGTTAGAGTTTTAGCTGTGGATTTAATTCAAAGAGACGAGTACTTCATGAAAATAGACCACCAACAAGATTTTATATTGACTATTATTATTGAAAATTTTAATTTTCAGCCGGAACCCTTATACGCCCAGGTAAACATGGAAAAGAAACGTAATCGTCAGCCAAGCCTTGGCAATGCGAGCCTGAATCATGTGAGCGATGGACAAGCTCAAGCGCAGTTCCAGTCGCAGCCCCCTCCGCTTTCTAGTATGCCTGCTGGAAAAGATTCCTGGGTCTAAAAAACTCACTTATTCCCTAGTACGGGTTCTGGTTATCGAATTGTTTACAAAAATTTAGGAATCACTTGTTTACGTGATGCTTTGTTTGGTATAAGTTGATGATAAGGTCGATGAGGCTATTGTTTGCTGCCGTGCAGTAGCTATCTCCTAACTCCATCAAATACATACGATATCAATATTTATTTGTAAATCGTTCATGTTCAACAATCACCATTATTTCTAGACATATATGCATGTTGCGGTGTTGTCACATTCCAGTGTTAGACAATTGTAGTTTTTTGCAGATAACCAGTGAAGAAAAATTTCTCATCATTAAGCCCCTCTTTTCAGTCTTGTACAACATTTATTGAAATTCAAATTTGTTTTTTACTGTTTTGAATGGAATTTTTAATATACTGAGTGTTGCCTAAAAAAACTGGATGTTTTCGGGTGTAAATTTTTCCAAAATTCTATATTAAATTTGAACATTTTCTTATTAATTTGTGTCTCAGATGCTTCAACTCTTCTCTCATCATTAAGTTCCTTTCTATTAGCTTTGTGCAAGAATTAGTGAGATTAACTTTTTTTTAGTGTTTTAAATGGAATTTTTAATATACTGTGTGTGCCGTAAAAAAATCGATGTTTTTCAGGGTTTAAATTTTTCCAAAAATTTATATTACAATTAAAAAATGTTCAATTAATTGTTGTCACAAATGATTCATTTTCTTGGAACTCTTCTTTTCTCTTCTTCAAGCTCCTTTTTTTAGTGTTGTTCAACAAATATTGAAATTGAAATTTGTTTTTTTAGTGTTAAATGGAGTTTCTAATATTCTTAGTGTCCTCTAAAAAAGCGAATGTTTTTCGAAGTGTAAAAATTTTCCTCAAGGGATTCATTTCCTTGCAACTCTTCTGGTCTCATCATTAAGCTCGATCCCTTTATTGAGTCTTGTACAACGCTTATTGAAATTAACATTGTTTTATAGTGTTTTAAATGACACTTTTAATATACTGAGTGTGTGCTACAAAAACTGCGACTCTTTCTCATGATTAAGCTCCCTCCTTTTAGTCTTGTGCAACAATTTTTAACATTAAAATTAGTTTTTTAGTGTTTTAAATGGAATTTTTAATGTAGTGAGTGTCCGTTAAAAAAACTGGTTATTTTTCGGGCTGTAAATTTTTCGAAAAGTTTTTATTAAATTTAAAAAGTTTCTTATTAATTTTTGTATCAAAAGATTCATTCTCTTGCAACTCTTCTCTCATTATTACGCTTTATTGAGTCTTGTGCAACAATTATTGAAATTAACTTTTGTTTTAAATGTAATTTTTAATATACTGAGTGTCCCATAATAAAGTATATGTTTTTCAGAGTGTAAGTGTATACTAAAATTTAAATAAATTCAATCAATTTTGGTCACAAATAATTCATTCTCTTGTAACTTTTTTTTTCTCATCATCTAGCTCCCTCCTTTTAGTCTTGTGCAACAATTATTGACATTAAAATTTGTTTTTTACTGTTTTAAATGGAATTTTTAATGTACTGAGTGTCCCCCAAACAATTGGGTGTTTTTCGGGGTGTAAATTTTTCTAAAAGTTTATATTAAAATAAAAATATTACTCGACACTACTCTTCTTCAACTCTCAAAACTTTCCATGCGCTTAATAGTTTGCCCGAGATGCAAAATATCACCGAACAGACTGAAACGGAAACTTAACAGGCTTTACTATTGTGATATTAATTCTGAAGTCGTTTTCCAACACCCGCAGATGGCATGTATGTATTTAGAAAATCGCAACTAAGTATTCGTTGACTTGCGCTATATAGGCCTATTTATATTATAGTTGTTTTGGTACAATATAGATATTTTGTAAGCTTTTAGATAATTATTTTGTTAAAAGTCGTTGGTGTAAAAAAGCCTTTCCGAGTAAAATTTTTGTACATAGTTGATAATCCAGTCCCGAGATCTACTCTGTTATATATCAATGTTCGGTCGTATGTTCAGATATATAATGCACTGATTCATATATTAAATATATAATATTTAGTTTGTGGTTTACTGTGATGAGCTTCAAGTGAAAAAAATTGCCTGTATATATTGATTTGCGTCAAAATTATTTTACTGCAAGTTTTTTTTTTATTTTTTTATTATACAATTTATTTTGAAAATGGTTTTATTATATACTTAAATTATAATCATATAAACACATTATAGAGAAGGCATTGTTTGTTTCGTTAAATTATATTTTACGTCTATTGATTTTTTTTTCATTATAAATATTTAAACGAAATATCTTTGAACTATTTCAAACTTACCGTAGTCAATTTTAATATTGTTTATAATAAAATAAACCTATTGTAATTTATTTCACAGCAGTTTTTATAATAACTTTGACGACGTCGGCTTTGCGAAAAGTCTGTACAAAGCGAGAAAAAAAATGGAAAACTTTAATTTAAACTTATGTCTTTTTTTACAAAATATAAAACTAATAATAAACCTAAACAAAATCCATTATCAACTTATACGTAACAGATGGATAAAATTAACACTTATTTGGTAACAATTTTTTAAATCTTAGTATGAATTTAAATAAATTATTTACATTTCTCGTTTACATCTAAATAATCGCGGTTTTTGGGAATAATGCAATTATTTGCCAGACAACGAAAGAAATTGACATCTTTACACTATTTCCGTTAGTTGAATGAATAATGAAATTTGATTTAGTCCCCAAGATCCTGTATAACTTAAAACTTTTTAAAAAACAATCTGAATTGAATGTTTGTTATTGTTCGTTTTTTTTTTTTTTAAACTGGCCTGTGTATAAAGTTGTCAATTCAAACTAGTGAAATATCCACATTTAAGCATAGTCCTTGCGCACGTTAAAAATCGAAGTGCTACAAGTTATTGACACTGATTATTTGGTTAATCCAACCGATGAAAGACGAGACTTTAACGTACACTCCTGGAACGTCTTGCCTCCCACATCCGAACCCCCAGGAAACTAGACCCGCCAGTTCGTAAAAACCGTCGTCTTGACACACCAAAGGTCCTCCTCCGTCACCCTGGAATTTGGTGTATAAAACTTACCCTGAAATAAGAAAAACTTCGGTTTACCTGACATGCATCGTTCCCTTCTTCGCCACCTGCACAAAAACTACTGGCTGGTAGAATAAATATTTTTTCGGTCACAGCATTCACTTTCCTGATACATTCGGCATCACTGACGATTGGTATCTCGGCTTCTCTTACTCTAAGAGGAATGGGTCCAGCTAAGGCACGCAAAATTGTTAATCTCTTAATGTCTGTATTGCATTTCTACCTTCTCCCATGTATCCATATCCGGTAACGGTACATCTCTTTCCGGCAGCGTGACTGACTCCTCTTGCAGGTAAACATACTAGACACACCCCTTCCTTTAATTCAGCTTGTCCGTGCAACTTCAGCAGAGCAATGTCATTGTCCAAAGTCTGACTGTTGTGGTTGTGGTGGATGTACGTCGTGGCTACTCTTAAAGTTTGAGCACCTGGACTACCGTATTTCCTGGTCAAATCATGGTCCCCAACTCTAACGTAGATAGCATCTCCAGAACGTACAATACTAGAAGCCTGTTGTTAGCAACCACGCTAGATAGAAAGGTCCGAACTCACTTTGTAACGCAATGGGCTGCTGTTAGTACCCATTGAGTGCCAATTAGAGCTGCTCCACATAAATACTGATTCAAAGAGTTGATTAAAGCTACCTGCCAACACCATTCGCCTTGTTCCCCATCTTCTCCCCCCACTACTTTACCCATCCTGGAAGTTCCTTTGACCCCACAGACGTATTTGCTGTAGACGTGCGATTTCTGAGTCGTCCCCAATCTCGAAATGTCAGTTGCTGGAATCAGAAGATTTATGTTCTTCGCTGATGAATTTAATGGGTGCTTACTGGTAGGAGTTGTTACAGATTGGACAGTAAATGGCCCTGTAATAGATGGTGTGGTCGGTATATCATTAATGTTTGGTTCATCTTTTTGTCCCACTGCTTCCTTGATTAATGATTTGGGAGCGCAACATTTCGTTCCAGCTTTCCTGCACTTAAATATCTCCGTCATTTCAGCATTCCCTGGAAGATCGCTATTTTTGTGAATATACCTGCGGTTGGTTTAGCTAGTACTTACTGAAGCAAGTAAAACTGAGATACGATACGATACAGGACCCTGGGCAATCTGGTCTTGGATCCGTTGTAGTTGTCGTAGTCACCATAACTGGATAATGAGGCTTTGGTCGTGGTTTTGGGGTATAATTTGTAGTTCTGGTGTTATCGCAACAAACCGATCCTCTTTTGCAATTTGAAGTATGGGGTATTAACACTGAAGGTCTTTCGCAAAATGCCGCCATTATATTTAGCAGGCAGAACCCTGGACAAGTGGGACCCGGATCCCTAGTAGTTGGTCTGAGTGTTGTGGTGGGTCTAGGCGACTGGGGCTGCGACTCCTCGCTTCCCTATAGAATCCTTCATTTGAACGATGTCGAATTATATAACAAATAAATAAGAAGTCTCCTCGGCCAATTATCAATTATCAAGAGGAGACCTAGTACTAATGGCGTCTGAAAATAACTTACTAGAGGTGTAGTAATGCAACAACTGCCTTCGTTTGGACAGTCGGCGTCAGTATCAATATCGTCACAAAATAAAGCGTACAATCCGCTAACGCATTCGCCATTGCATGGTTTTAAAATATTTGGTCTGTAAGTCGTCGCCACGTTTACTTTTACCATGTGGGCTGTAGTGGTGGCAATGGTAGTGCTTGGTTTTGGAGTGGTTCGGGTTTCGATTTTGGTGAAGCTTGGTTTCGTTTTGTTGGGGATTATTAAATCTGCTGGCGGTTTATCCCCGAACGAGTCGCTAGAGACGCAACAGCGCAATCCAGTTTTGCATAAATTCTCTGTGTTTAAGATAGCTTCGCAATAGTCTGCGATACGTTCGGCTACACATACACCGTGCTTTTCAGCACAAGCTTTTGCTAAAACGAGTCTGTACTTGATCAAAAAGTAGCGTTAAGTTGTAAAACTTACCATCGTCGACTTCAGAGGTATTGGTTGTTTTCTCGGAAGCTATCTAAAACACATTACATTCACAAAGTACCTTTAAAAAAAAGTTACCCTCTTCATTTACATTACCTGAGTTGAATTCGTGGAACTTTGCGTTTTTACGGTCGTCGTACTAATCGCAGTGCTTTTTGCAGTGCTCGTGGTACTATTCGTAGTGCTAATCAGAGTTGTAGTTTCAAATTTCACAGTACTCTCATCCTCTGCTTCGGTACTATTCGAAACAGGGGAATCGACGCAGCATTTCATAGAAGATGATGGACACGCTACGTCTTCCAAGACATCGTAGCAAATTATTGTGGCCAATGCGTGAACGCAAACTCCTGGACAATCTTTTGAGTCAGCCGTGCTTGTGATTGTATCCAAAAGACCTAAAACATTATAAGCTTTCCTTTTTTCGGCGACAGAATATCCGCAAGAGTTTTAACCACTTTTCGAATCAATTCAAAATTTTAATTAGCGCCATCTGACAGCCAATAGCGAAACCACGCTGAGCCGTGGCTTGGTGGAAAACCCCAATTGATTCGTAGGTTGCTGTGGATGACATAATTCGGAAAATTTGACGCTGTGTGGTAGTGATAAATGTGTTTTCCAGGGTAAGTGGAATTTAAAATTTCGATGGGTATAACGTATAAGAATGACTTCTGATCATAGCGTTTCTTAGCTACAAGTATGTATTTGTAAATCAAAAATAAATAGTCACGCCGAAGAATGATCATGAGTTGCAATCGTAAAAAGTTGCTTTGCTACTAGCTGTCTAATATTTGTGACTTGCGGGTGAAAAATCCATAAAGTTGTAAATATTCTAAAAATTATTTTAAAAGTGTGTTATTTTTTGGATACCTTTTCGAATGCGTTCCAATTTTTTCTCTAACAGGGATTAGTATAAAATAAATTATAGGCGCTTTTTATTGGTCAATAAGCGGAGAATGTTGTCATTTCAGGTTTGGGTTGACACAATAAAAATTATCATAGAGAGTGCTTCTCTACCGTTATTTTGTAGTGCTCTTCCCTGGGAAATATTCCAAATATTAGAAATCTGATATTGCATAAATAAATAAGTTATTTAATTGAAACAATGTCGATGTTTTCATTAAAATTTCATGTAATAAAGCACGAGTAACGAAACTCAATGACTTGAATCGCTCGAGGATAAACGAGGGAAAGAAAAGCTATTATCGCATAGTTAACCTCATATACACTTCCGCACAAAGGCCAATGATAAAGTTTTTAGGAAATCGGGAATTTTTATATATATTATGTTCCGTTTTTATTGTGTTTGCCTTATCCTTTGGGTTGGAGTCGGGAAGTTTTATGGATCAATGAAAATGCTTTTGTGAAGAATTTACTACCCCTGTTGGTGTACACCAGATATGTTTTTGATGCCGCAAGATACACTGGTTGCCCCGTTTTGTTTCACTTTACAGTCGTTAAATATATCGCGCTATGTACGTAGTCCCAATTTATTTATTTAGACGGGTCAAAATTTCTTCAACCAACGTAAAACTCGGCGCAGAAAGTGCTTTTTTTTGTCATAGGTGGAACTGAAATTTGAATTAAGGCGATTGTAAGTACAATAGTAATAGTAGTGCCAAAAGGCAAGTACCAGTCCAGTCTTGCTGCTAGTAAAGCTAGTTATCCACTCGTTGACATAGTTACAAAAAATCGCATTTTAATTCGAATTGAACAAGAAACACGACTATTACGACATATTTATGCTATAACAGTACTATAAGTACCGTTGTTCGCCAAAAGAAGAAAACCGCGATCTTTTAAATAACCACAGTCCCTTTCGGAAGAAATTGCCATGGCAACGTAAAACTTATAACTTACCTGACAAGAAACTGCCCGCTAACGAATCGTCCTGCGTTCGTGTTAATTTAACACAAAAAAAAAATATTAACCACAAGGCAGTAATCGACCGGGTCCTAGACATCATAGACATTGAGACTTTACACTTCACAGCCACTATCAACACAAACTAATACAAACTTTGCATCGTTTTACGAAGGAAGCCTGAGGCACTCTATTTCATTCATATATACGCGAACCAAGAATCACCATTACTGAAATTTACCGTTCTTAATTATCAATGCTGGTGTTCCTCTGTTACTGCTATCTGCTTTTGCTTTGTAAGTACCTGTTGGTTGTTGGCGGTACTAACTTTGCCGGTTTTCTTATTCCTCTTGTTCTTCGGTGTTCGCAGTAGCAGGAGGATCGATTTTGCCGTTAGGATTGTACCGTGTCACCATTGTTATCGATACCAGAAAGCACTCGCGTCAAATTACCGTTTTTCGCCATATGAATAGCGTTTCCCAAATAGAATGACATAATTTAAATTTCAAAAATGCGTCGACGAAAGTTTCAACTATGGACATATATCAATTATTTTGGAAATAATGCATATTCAAGATTTATTATATTAAAGATTTTAATGGAAAAAATTTTAAAACTGATTAAAGCATTCCTAGACCTTTAAGCATTCTATATCGTATTCTATATCACGTTCAATAATAAATCTCTAAATGTGTGTTAGTTTATATTGTTCATTTTTATAATATTGTTGTTTGTTATGCCAAATCGCACTGAAATGTCTATGGTGAAACAAAAATTAATAAAATTTGGACTCCTTGATTTTTGACCCTATTTATAAACAAGATATAAATGTACAAATTATTCTCGACGACCACACCATGGCTGTATATGAAACAATTTCTGAAATTAACACATCTTCAGTACAAATTATGGTTTGCAACTGCAAAGTGATTTTGATTTATTTTTGGCAATAATTATTAAGATTTTTATGTTATAAAAAATATATATACTGAATATTTTGTCCGAAATAAAAACAGTTAAAAATATTCAAACTTTTATACGACATGTTGGAAATCGATTGTTGGACATTGTGAACACCTCCCTTACGAGTGGAATTTTTCCGGAGGCATGGAAGACATCAATGGTGATCCCTGTACAGAAGGTTCCGAACACCAAGCTATGTCAAGAGTTTAGACAAATTAATACCGTTCCAGTTTATGAGAAGGTTCTTGAGGTTGTGGTGAAACAGCTGGAAAGCTATTGTGACGTAAACAATGTTTTAGTGCCTAACCAGTCGGGCTTTCGCTCCAAACATTCATGCGAATCTGTCGTCGTTACTGTCTGTGATGATTTCTTGAGGGCCTTGGAGGATGGAAAATTTGTGTTGGCTGTATTTTTGGATTTTAAGCGTGCTTTCGAAACAATAAGTAAAACTAGACTGTTAAGAAAATTGCACAAAATGGGTATTAAGGGGACAGCGTATAAATGGCTTAGTGCGTATTTAAAAGATAGAGTACAAAAAACGAAATATAAAAATTGCATATCTGATTGCATAACTATAGAACATGGTGTTCCTCAGGGGACAGTTTTGGGACCAGTGTTGTTTCTTATGTATATAAAGGATATTGTAAATATTTTAGATGATACTAAAGCGATATTATTTGCGGATGACACTATGATTTTTATTGTGGGTGAAAATGTGGATGAAACGCAAAGGAAAATGAATGCCGATCTGAAGAAAGCTTTTGGATGGCTGTGCAATAATAGCCTTTGTATAAACACGGACAAGTCAAAATTTTGTATTTTTGGTAAACGACATAAATTGAGTAAATTAAATTTCGATGTAAAAATTTATATTAACAACAAAAAATTAATTCATGAAAACGAAACTAAATATCTGGGTGTTACATTTGACTCAAATTTGACGTTTCATACACATGCCGATTTCATAATGAATAAATTTTCTAAAAAGATTAAATTTATATCTAGAATAGGGAAAAATTTGTCAATTGACACCAAAATCTTATTGTATAACAGCCTAGTTGCGCCCCATTTAGAATTTTGTTCCACACTTTTGTTCAATTTGCCTAGTTATAAATTAGAGCAATTGCACATTGTTCAAAATTGAGCTATGAGAAATATACTAAAGTGTAACAGATATACGCCAATTCAAAGCATGTTGAGTGTTCTTAATTTCTTGTATGTAAAACAAAAAGTAATGTTTAATGTCTATGTATTTATTTTTAAAATTAAACAGCAGTGTGTTCCCAATTATGTTTGTGAAAAAGTTACCTATTTCAGAGACATTCATTCTTACAATACAAGGAATTGTGGTAATTTTATGTTAAGAGAATGTTATTCTAGTCATGTACAAAACTCTATATTACATAAAGGCCTAAATCATTTTAACAATTTACCGCATGATATTAAAAACTGGGATACTCTTAATGAATTTAAAAGACTTTAAGACGAAATGTATTGTCAAAATTCTGATTTCTGTGTGTCTGGCTTTTAGTTTCCGTTTATCTGGAATTTTATATTTAGAATTTGTATTTTGTATTTTTTATGTAGCATAATGCTAAATAAAGATTATATTATTATTATTATTATTATTACATAGATATAATTACCCTGTATTACTACTGTACTACTACTTCATTACGGTTACTACAAGTTTCATTTAAATAGTATGAAATTAAATTTATCTAACATTTGAATTCATTTAACTTTAGTGAAACAATTAACTTAAAAAATATTTCTTATGACATTTGACAATATTTTGCAACATAGGTATAATAGGTCACCTATTTTGAACTATCTTCATATTTGATCTATCTTAATTATCATTTGTTTTCTCTTTTTATTCTAAAGTCTTTACTTTCTCTGTTCTTTTTTCTTCTGCTTTGTTTTATCTTGGTCTATCCTCAACAATCTCAAAGAACCATAAAATAAAGATGAGCAAAAATAACGACCAAATATTTTAACGGTGAATCAAAAGAGCGATATTATTTGAAGGGTTAAATATTTTGCACACCCATGAAATAATCTTTTTAACATTACTTATTCAGAATCGCCCAAAAATCTAAAGAAAAATTAAGATTTCAGATTTTTTGGACATATTGCAAATGGCCCTGAATTACCTTAATCGAATTTCAAACAATTTATACGGAAAATAGATAAATATAGATATGTGGTTTCATTGTGTTTCGAAAAAATTCCTTTTACCAGATTGTTCGCGATATATTATTAGATAGATTATGGGATTCCAATAAATTTGAAAGGTCCTTTTGTTGAAATTGACGGTGAAACATTATTGGGCCTCTATTGCCACACAGATTTGCCATCCGTTAATGTGTGAAACAAACAAAAATGAGCGCCTGCCTAGTTAAATAGTTACTTGACTAAATAGACCTAAATTTTTTTTGTTTCCATATATACATACAACAAAAATGAGGGCCTGTTTAGTTAAGCAGACACCTTTTTTTTTGTTGAACACATTTTTGAGTTTCCTATTTCTAATCTCCACCCAATTCCTCTGAGGTCTAGTGGTAATTGGTAAGGTAATCTGTTCTGAGTTAATTGGATTATATGGCCCACCAAATGATCAAGTTGACCACTAAGCAAATCAGCCGTCTGTTGATGTGTGAAACAAAAAATGAGTGCCGACTTGAATAGTTATTTAGTTAAACAGGCACAATTTTTTTTTCCAAATAAGCACTAAAAATTTGTGTGTGTACTTATTTAAATAGGCACTAATTTTTATGGTAATGTTACAATCAGACTGATTAGTTATTCCATCATCTGATCACGTATCTCTACTTAGCTTCTTATTTTATTGTATTTAATAGTCTCCATTACAATTAACAAATTAATTGCGTTAATTACAATTACAATATTTCAATTTTAAAGCATAAGTTTATGTTAGATTACAATATCTATTCGACTTATAGGCGCCTAGGTTTAAAAAACCTGTCCATATCAAACCCAACAATTCATAATATTAATATATAGCTAAAACTAGAAAATTAAAAAAATAAATTTAACTAAAAAAACTGATCATGAGCAACCATTGAAGAGTTACATAAAATACAGTTTTTGGCTTCTCTAGAAAATTTTATATTTACTTTAAGTTTTATTATCTACAGAGAGCAGCCTGGAAGAATGTTTATAAATACATGTACACAGCAGATTTAGGGATACAATCTGCCATATTTTCACGCGTTAAGGTGAAATGGACGTGACTAGAGACCATTGACGTCATATAACCGCTCACTTGGGTTTAGCTTTTAAGCAAAAGTCTCCTATCAATAAACGTTTGTTTGATTCTTCTTGTTTTGTGGCCCCTACACCCGCATATTCTTTGGCCCTTACTTAATTTTTAGGTAATCAGTTATTGTGATGGTTAGTTTTCGTTGAAACTATGTTATATAGCAAAATGCGAGCACAAAGAAATACCGTTACAAATTTCACTTTGATATTTTTGTATTAATTATATAGATATCGCTCTGGTTTTCTTTTTAACGTGGGGGCGTAACCTCATATCAAATCGAGTTGTTGCTGCTGGTAGTCATTAGGTAAAATCAACAAGCATCGCTAGTTTGAAGCGCGACGAATTCATTTAGGTTTTAATACGTTCCCGTCGGCCATATTTCCGCAGAGGATTATTGTAAAGTTGCGGCAGTTATCGGACGGTTCAATCGATTATTTCGCAATTTTGTCGATACATGTATCGATCGGGTATCGAACGATCAAAAACCATCGGTATTGCGTGCCAGTATTATGGTAAACCGTCCACTAACGCCGCACAGTTATATTGAATCACCAATAATGAGGCCTTGTCCTTGACACGGTGGTCAATGACCCCCCCTATATTAACTTGTTTTATGAAGTACCTCAACACACCTACACCTTACACAATGCAGTTGGTAGTCTGCTTTTTTGGTCAACCGTGTCGAGTACTCGTTCGAGAATATATGTAACGGATTTTATTGTTTCTCGTTCTTGGCACTTTCTTTAGTCAGCGATTTTTGCAATAATGGTCGAGTTCCATTTTTCACCTTGAAAACTCCAGATTCGTTTTGGTAAATTGCTAAAACGCCGAACATGTAATGTTTTAATAGTCGATACAGTTATAATGCGAAGTTAATTAAACACACTTCCGGTATTTTGCGTGTCTTCAAAACGGGGTTATTTGCATCTTCATTTAGTTCATTATTTTACCTCGAATCAGAAGTTTTGAACAAAATTGACGACGAAATGTATTATTCTTTCCACAATCTAGATAAACATAGATAAAGGATATAATAATAATAAAATTAATAATAATAAT